GACGATCAGGTATGACAAATTGGCCACATGCGACGACCCAGAGGCGAGTTTACAACGTGAGAAGTGGAACCTCGATTCGCTAGTGTACGCGCTCCGACACGGATACCTCAAGCATGACTTCCTCACCAAGCCCAACAAGGCACTGCAGGACGACATGCCCCGCTGGGTGCAACTTGGAACGCAGAAGACGCCCGACGCGATCTTCGAGTACCTGGATCAGAGCATGGTTCACGCGGGCAAAGAGTTTTTCTCGCAGCCACACTTTGTTGACGAACAGTATAGACGGCTAAGAAAGGCAAGGCTGGCAATGCTACAGCAGAGACGTGATCTACGTGAAGCTACATGGGCCACCGACGCCACAAAGAGGAAGGTCGAACACTTTCTGAGGGCCATATCGACGCAGTGCGGAAAAGTACGAGCTGAAGTGCGCCAACAAACCAGAGATGCAATAGCAGAAGAGATAAGCGAGCATTGGGAAGCTAGAAGATTCGCCCAGGCATGCAGGGCCACGATTAGAACAGGTAACACGAGAACGGGGACGAAGAGACGTGACTTGCGAGCTCTTCCGTTGGCGAGCCCGACGAAGGACGAGCGGATGCAAGCGCTCAGCAAACCTGGAAAAGAAGGAGGAATGATCGCAGTGGAGATTACGAACCACCCGCGCCAGAGAGAAGAGCTTGAATGTGAAGAAGTCCCCGAAGATTTGCCTCCTATTCCTGACCCACGGGACCACATGACCGATGACCCAGATCAATTACCTGAGTTCAGTAACGAGCACGCTACTGGGGCTTTCCTGGAAAGCAAACGCGACCTAAAAAGACTGAAGAGGAATCGCTGGACGACTCCAAAGAGAAGAGCGCGCCCATCACAATCACCACCCGCAGAGCTGTACTGGATGGCCTTGAACCCGCAGCGCGACCAGAAGCTGATGGGCGTAGGCTACGACCTGGACGACGCGGACAACAGCTACATCGAGGCTCGTCTGCACTTGGCTTTTTACAACTTAAGGTGCCACCAGATCACGCCGAGCAACTGGCACGTCAGCGAATGCTACGCGGCCAAGAAATCAGAGCTGCCAGGGCCCAAAGGGAGACGCCTTCTACACATCCTCAGAGTGCTGGGCAAAGGTTTCTTCGCTGTCTGCATTAGAGCCCGTCAACCCGAGCAGCTGCCACCCGAGCATCACGGATGCGCACAAGGCAGAAGGCGGGAAACAGCGATCCTGGCCTCGATGACCACGGCCTACACACTGAGGCAGCTGCAGTGCTCCTACGTGGACAGCTTCAAGGACATGACCAACGCCTTCCCCTCGGCGAGCTGGAAGCACATGGAGCTGGCAGCAGAGTCGCTGGTGAGAGATCGCGATATACGCCTCGCATTACAACGCACCAGAAGAGCGCAAGTACTTCTACCAGCCGCTGAAGGTTTACTTCACTTCAGACCGACAGAGGGATGCCTCATGGGGGACCCTTGCATGGTGAACTGCTTCCCCAGAGCCTGCGCCTACGCTATTGAGCCCCGGTCGTCGCGCTGGCAGGCGGAGGACGACGCGGACAAAAAGCTAAAGGTTAAGTGCCCGATCACCAACCGCATCGTGGACATGAGCCTGCACATCTACGCCGACGACATCAACAAGAAGATATTGCAGCACCCGCATGCCGAGAAGGAGAGCGCCAACCTGGGCAAGCTCAGGTACAAGCTGATCCGCTGCGACGAGATCCTGAACGAGAACCTGCCCACCATAGGCCTCGCGCAGAACACCGGCAAGCAGGTCAACCTGATGGCCTGTCACGGGTTGGGCAGCGGCATTGCCAGGCGTGATCTCAGGCTACGGGGGCAACGACAAAAATGGCCAGGGCAACTTGTGGATCAAGCGAGATACCTGGGACCGATCATTGCCATCATTCAGAGTTTCGGAATCGAGCTGGCGAAGAGGGTGCAGGCCGCCAAGGCGGCGTTTTACTCGATGGGCTCTTTCTGGAGTGCACCGCGCATCCCGTGGAGATGGAGGAGGGCCGCGCTGCTGGGAAGAGTTGTCAACTCCGCCTTCTCCTCAGTAGAAGCCTTCTTGCCGACCAAGCGCCAGTGCGACACCCTCGACGCTGCAATAGCATCGCTGGCGCGGATCGCAACGAGGGGAAGAGCCTGCACCTGAAACGAAGACGGCGCGGCCCAGTCGCTGACCAACGCCGAGGTCCTCGCCCACTGGAAGATAGCAAGAGCTGAAGTGGAACTTCGAGACAGGAGGCTCAAGTGGCTGCAGCAAGCGGCCAGGGACCACAGCAACGCCCAGTTCTTCGCGGCAATGTTCGGCGCGTTCAGCGGCCAGGCCACGCAGACGGTCACGGACGACGGCGCGCTGTCGAGCCAGGCGAATCCCTGGGCCAAGCGCGCGCAGGAGGACGTCAACCAGCTGATCAACTGCTCAGAAGAAGCGCAGAGCCTGCTGGAGACCGCAGGCCCTAACATTGTCGCTTGGCTCAAAGACCCGCTAGTCAGAGAAGAGTTCTGCAATGTCGACGTAAGTATTCTCAGAGCCAAGGAACTCCAAACAACTATCCCGCCCCCAACATGTGCACCCCAGCTGCCCACTGAAACGAACGAGGAGGAAAATATGAAGTTCGCGGAGGAGGCAGGGGAGGATTTCAAGTGCAATGTGGAGGTGGATGGCAGGAGCTGTGGGAGGACGTTCTTCTCGAAACGAGCACTTCGATCGCATGTTAGGCAGGCCCGCAACATCGTCAACGTGTGCTCGTTCTTCAACCCCACGAACGTTTGCATCGTCTGTGAAACCACTTTCGCCTCAGAAGTCACAGCCCGTCGACATCTCGCTCGGTCTATTCAACGAGGGTGCTGTGTAGTCGATCTCGCTCGAGCCCTAACCGCGGCACATGAACCTAAATCACTACGCTGCCCTGGTTGTGAACGCGTAGCTGGATCTTGGCTCGAGCTTCGACATTATCTGGCGCGGCATCTGCTGCTTCTTCTTGACACGCGCGCGCCCGCCACCGTTGGGAAGAACCTCTGCTATGGCCGACGTGGGCGCCGACAAGCCAGAGTGGAAGACAGACGCAGGCGCAGGGAGCAACGATGGCGCGGAAACTCGCGGGGGGCATGCGAGAGGCAGGTCCACAAGAAGCAGCCGCCGGCACGAAAAAGGACAAGGCAGACGAGCCCGCCGCAGCAGCCAAAGGCTCGGCAGGCTCAGGCGCCTCCAAGGCGCGAGTCGTGCCGCCACTCGCCCTCCTGCTCGGCTTCTTGGCGCTCAGCATGGAAGACAACCTGAACTCGGCGATCGGCGTGGAGGGGGAGTCGGCGCTCGGCCTGGCCGCAGCCGCGACGGAGGACAGGGGCTACCACAAGGCGGCGAAGTACCCGAGGGACGACCACACAGAATACAAGAAGGTGGACACGGCGCAGCTGGGGAGCATCCTCGCGCGGGAGGACCGCAACCGCGCCCTGCTCGTGAGTACCGAGGAAGGCCAGGCGAAGAGCAGCGCGCTCACCACCTACGAGAAGGACGACTTCATGAAGGAGAAGGAGAGGTACTCCAAGGTGCGTGTCCCGCTGGGCAAAGAGATGAAGAAATTACCCAGGCGCACGAAGGGCAAGGAGCCTCACCAATGGGCTTCACCAACCAACAAGGCAGCACAGGACCTGGACACGAACCCCGGGGGCGAAATCGAGCGCCAGGGCGGAGAGATCATGATCGGAGCGGCAGTGAGGGGTGCCTCGGAGAGGGACGCCAGAGCGCAGTGGAACAAGCTCGAGGGCGAGTAGGGGACCAGGAGCTGAGAAGGATGACGACTCTCGCCAACTCCGCCAGACTGCAGAGTCTGGTAACTAGAGGTTTCTTGAGTAGGGAGTCTGTCCTGGCCTCTTTCACTTCTTCCCTCTCCGAGCAGAATCTGGAGGACTCCAGGGGCCTAGCGAAAATTCAACCGCGCCCCAAAGGGGGCCAAGGTAGGGGCGAAGGTAGGGGGAGACAAACTCGCCCCCCTCTGAGTGGGAGGGGGCAAGGGGTCGCCCGCCTGCTTTACCCTGGCGGGGGGGGCGCCGTGCGGGGCCCCCCTGGCCAGGAAAAGCAGCGGGTTGCCCTCTCCCCCTCCGCGCTAGGCTGGAGGGGCCGCCACCCTTGCGCCCAGCGTCTTCCCCGAGAGGGCCGAAGGGGGGCCCGTGTCTTTTCCGCCAGTGCCAGCGCAGGAAAGAGTCGCAGCCTGAACACAGGCATGCCGCCCAGCGAGTAAGACACGTCGGATAGCGCTGCTTGCTTCGCCAAGGGTTGTCTAAGTCTCCTCCTCCTCCTCCTCCTCCCTCCTCCTCCTCCTCCTCCTCCTCCTCCTCCTCCTCCTCGTCAAGCTGCTGACATGAAGGGGCATGTGTCGCCTCGAATCGGCCACGCGCAGAAGGGAGGTAGGGAGGGGTGGGAAGGCTCCTCAGAAGCACCCCTGTTTCTTAGACGGCGAGGGCCTCGTCGGTAAGCGCAGGGCCAGCGTCTTCTAAGAAGCAGCCTCCTGCTCAGCGGCCTTTCCCCCTCCCCCAATTCCCCCCTCCGCGCACCACCACATGCTGACAGAAGGGGCACGTGGGACTCAGTCAGGAGGGGCTATGGTTTCCGGGCCGTTCTTTACAGCCAGGTCGGGGAGCCAGCTCGTGGTTGGGCTCGCCGTGGCCCGAAAGGCACCTTTCCTTGTTGTCGGCGTGCCGCATGCCGGCACCGCGACTGTACAGTCATGTTGGCCCAAGTCGTCTCGGCACAGGGATCTGGCGGCGCCTGCCCGACGCGAGCGCCATCCGCCATCCTCCCGTCTTACCAGCCTGGAGCATATCTCTATCCCTATGCTGGGCATCTCCTTATCACGATGCCAATCGTTGGGATTTCCTTATTTTTTGAGGGCGCATCCCTAAGATTGTCATCGCCTTTTGGCATGACAATCTTAGGGATAGGGATATGTTCGAGGCTGGTAACCGTCCCTCGTCCCTCCCGCTGTCCTGTCGCAATGCTGCGCCCCTGGCTGGCCACCTTCAGCGCGGCCGGCACGCTGCTGCGCGCGTGCGGCGAGAGTGGCGGCCCTGGCGCTGCCCCGCAGGACACGCACTCCGAGTGCGCCAACTGGGCCAAGAGGGGCGAGTGCGACGTGAACCCTGGCTTTATGCTCCACAGCTCGAAGGAGAAACATCTGCACAGCCACCAACGCTCGGAGGTCCGCGCGGATTCCTTGGATGGGCGCTCTGGCGGCGCCTCCGGCGCCGCCCCTGGCGCGCCCCGCGCTCCAGGGAGGAGCCTCCAGCGCCGACCCCGAGAGATCCGCGCCGACCTCGCAGAGTCTAGCTGCGCGCCAGACGACGTTTCTCCGATCTGAATCAAGCGGGAGATGCCGCGGTCGGCGTTTCAGGGTCCTATAAAGCCCTTGTGCTCCCCGCCCCGTGCCCCCCACGCGAGCAGCGCCAACGGTCGACAGCGACTGCCTCTTGCGCTTATGGCGGGGGCGTTCACGGAGGAACGTGCCCATGAGGCCTCAGGCCCTGGAGGATTCCCCTCTCTGAGGAGGGCGGCGGTGCGATCCGTGGCCACGCTTCAACGGGCCTGCCGCCGACGTTCAGCTCCTTCCTGGACTCCTTACCACAGGGCCTTCCCTTGGCATCGCTCGGACGTGTGCATTTTTCCTTCGGCGAGGACCTTCGAGGAGCATCCTCGACCATTCGGCGAAAGAACCACGCACGAAACCGAAAAAAAACACAGGAAATGGACGTCCGAGCGGTGGCGAGGTCCTCCAGTGCCCCCACCGTCTGGCTGGCTGTGCCGTTGATTCCTCTTCCCCCCGGCTGCGCCCGCAGCTGCCGCCGCGCGCGCGCCCAGCAGGAGCGCGAGGCGCAGCGGGTCCGGGGGGCCCTGCAGTCGGAGGAGCAGCAGGCGCTCGCGGCCGCGCGGGCGCTCGCCTGCGCGGGCGCCGCCGAGCCCTCGGAGGGCGCGGTGCGGGAGGCCGCCGAGGCCTGCCGGCAGCGCTGCGGGCCGCACGAGGACTGCCTGGGCCAGTGCGAGCGGCTGGCCCCGCGGGAGCTGCACGCCCTCCTCCGGCGGTGCGCGCCCTGGCCGCTGCTGTCGTCGGAGGCCGTGTCCGCGGGACTCCACGTTGTCTGCCTGGTGCCCGCGGAGGCGTGCGAGGACGTCGGGAGCCACGCGGTGGTCTTCAGGAACGGCCGCGTGGCCGAGCGGCCCCAGGTGCGCGGAGTACCTCGGAACGTGACGACGCTGTCGGCGTTCACGAAGCACTTCGAAGTCGAGGAAGAAAATTCGACAGGATCACAATTTTTCGAAGGTCCGCGCGGAATTCTTGGATCGGCGCTGGGCCCCCCTGGCGGCGGCTCTGGCCCTGCCCCCTGGCACGCTCCACGCGTCAGGGAGGGGGTCCAGCGCCGGTCCAGGAAATCCGCGCGGACCACTGAACGTCTATGTTTATGCCGTTTTCTCTTCCTCTGCGAAGACCTCGTGGTGTTCAAGGAGACGCGCGGGAAGCTGTACCAGGACAGTGGTTTCTTTACCCCGGGTGGGGAGCGGCTTCTGCAGCTGAGCTCGCTGCTCAAAGAGCCCACCCTGCTCATGTTCGAGGGCGGCCAGTGGGTATGGCCGACGGTGAGGCTGGGCCACACCACCGAGTTGCCTGGGCTACGCAGTCCAGGTGAGGTGACTCACATCCGCACAGTGTCGCTGACACCCGCTGTCTTCGAGATAGACAACTTCCTTCTGCCTGATGAGAGCGAGCATATCATGCAACGAGTCAGGCACACGATCCAGAAGTCGCCAGTAGCCATGAAGGACGCAGACCAGGCCAAGGCCAAGGCCGCCAAGGATTTCCGGACATCCTCGCAGGAGTTCCTCCCGACCTCGGGCGACGACATTTTGGCAGCAGTCGACGAGCGGGTGCAGATGTTGACGAGGATCCCGATCACGCACGCCGAGCACATCCAGGTTTTACGATACAACCAGATGGAGCACTACTCCGCGCACCACGACTTCTTCGACCCAGCAGACTACGCGAACAACAAGAACATTTGGCGGCGCTCAGAAGGGGTGAGGCACCAGGAGGGCGGCCTTCGAAGAAAGCGGGGGGCTTCTTGGAAGGCATGGGGCTTCTCAGAAGCCCGCCTTCTGAGATGGCCGCCTCCCTCGCAGCACCTTCTTGTACGCGCCGCCAAAGCATAATGAACATGATCCAGAACGGCGCAACCAACCGCATGGCCACCGTCTTCTTCTATCTGACGAACGTGACGCGCGGCGGGGAGACGAACTTCCCGAGAGCTGGCGGGCTTCCGCAGCCGCACGATTTCTTCGATTGCAGCCGCGGGTATAGCTCCTGGCCCATGGCTAACAAGGTGATCATATTCTACAGCATGTTACCAGACGGGTCCATGGACAAGAACTCTCTGCACGGAGGCTGCGACGTGCTCGAGGGCCAGAAGTGGTCCGCAAATTTCTGGCTCTGGAACAAGCCGGGCAGGGGGTAGTCTGCCATTGCCAGCGCCCGTCGGGAAGCACGAGGAGAGGTGTTGATGGCGAGATCTGCTGCACAGAGCTGGCTTCGGCCCCGCCGCTGGCGCATTCTTCGATACGCGGTCACTCCCAGCGCTTTGGCATGCCGCTGATTCACGAAGCACCCCTCTGGTAGGAAGACCCCCCTTGCCTTCACCCCGTGCCATGACCCCCTTGACTCGGAGAGGTTGCAGTGGCGCCGCCTCTTGCCCCCTTGGGGGTGCCACTGCCACGTGACCAGTGCATGTGAAGCACTCTCCAGTTACAGGCCGGTCGTTGAAAGTAGGTATTTTGGGGTTCCCAGATTCCAACCTACTTTGGGCGCCTTCCTACTTCATGGACCGACTTGCTTGTGCTGTGCTGTGCTATTCTCTGGAAGGGCCCGGACCCAATCCACTTCATCCGCCTTCCTGCTTCATGCTTTTACCTACTTCCCTCCGACCGGCGTGCACGGGAGCGCAGGGGCACTGGCAGCGAAAGAACGGCCCCTGCCCACGAGCCCCAAAAGCAGAACCAGGGGCACGGCGAGCGCAGGCGGACGGCCAGCCTGGTGGGAGCCATCGGGGACCCCGGCAGGCTGGAGGTGAAGTATGCCGAGAAGCCCCCTGGCCGGCCCGAGCTCTGAGAGGGAGGAGGCGCGCGAGTGAACATCTGGGATGACAAATAGACCAAGTGCACAGGACGGAGGAACAAATGCAGCATCGTCACGCTGCTGATTATTTCTGTCGTGTTGTTTTTTATTCCTCTGCAGCTCTTCGAGATGAGGAGGAGGATGAGGACCAGTGTAAAGACAAGAGTCATCAACGATGTTGGAACAAACCCTCCCTCCAAGCTCCCTCTTCATAGACCCCTACAACAGTTCATTTGCACTGAGGGAACTGCCTCGTTGGAAGAGAACTGTTTGAAGACCCTGGCGCATGCCAAGCCATTGTTCTCGGGATTCCAATGCCACGGATCAACCTGACTGTTGCGCCTGTGCGATCCCAAGTCATGCCAGAAGGCCATTCCTGGGAATTCAAAACCTCGAAGCAACGTAACAGTTGCACCCTCATAATCCTGAATCCCTCCAAATCGCAAGTTCGAATACATTGATCATGGGAATCCGTGAGAGCCTTGCACATGTTAAACAATCACATGCGCGCGGCGCTAAACCGAGAGCACATGTTGGAAAGGGACCGCCCTCAATCCGTGAAGTTTCTGCAAAGTTTAAAACGAATGTGCGCGGCGCTACAAAGAGAGCCACATGTTGGAAAGGAACCGCCTTCAGTTCGTGAAACCCTTGCGAATGTTATAAACGAATGTGCGCAGCGTTAAGGCGAGAACCACATTTTGAAAAGGGACCGCCCTCAATCCCTGAAGCTCTTGCAACATTTTAGACGAATGTGCGCGGCGCTACAGCGAGAGCCACATTTTGGACATGAGCCGCCTTCAATTCGTAAGACTCTTGCAAATTGTAAAGCGAGTGTACGCGGCGATTTGAAAACGACGCGCCTTCAATTCGCGAAACCTTAGCAAATGTTTAAAACGAATGCGCGCGGCACGGAGGCAAGAGCCACATGTTGAAGACGACCCACCCTCCATGTTTGAAACGTCTGCCAGCTGCTTGGCTCCAGGGCCGTAGATGGTGAGGAGGTCTCAGGCGAAACGCCCGGCCCGACCTAGACACGGGCCTCGGGGCGCGACAGGGAAAAATGAAGTTATAAGGAAAAGGAGTGGAGGAGGAGAAAGAGAAAGAGGGGTGGGGGAAAGCGGGATGGGGAGGTCGAGGTTTCAGGAGGCGTCTGGGGAAAAATGAAGTTATAAGGAAAAGGAGTGGAGGAGGAGAAGGAGAAAGAGGTGGGGGAAAGCGGGATGGGGAGGGGGAGGTTCCAGGAGGCTTCCGCCGTCCCTTCGGACCCGCGGGGCCCAGTGTCGGGCCCCGAGGCCGTCGGACATCGAGCTGGGAGGAGAACCTCGCCAGCAGGGACCTCGCGAGGGTTTTTTGGGCGATTCGGCTCGAGTGGGGGGGGAGGAGCAAACCTAAGATGCATCAGCGATGCAGCACACTACATCCTCCTGCCTTAACTCCCTTCCCCGTAAGTACACACGCTTTCCCGTTCGCTACAGACAGGGTCTCCTTGAAGGGCCAGCACCCTGTGGGCCTGTCCTTCAGGCGGGAGCCCCGCTTGGAATAGCAATTGCGTTGCACCCTTCTAGCGCATACCCCAGAATCCGAGAAAGTATGGCCAGGCAAGTCCGAGGAATTCCAGGGAGACCCCCGTTCTGAAAGCGGGCCGTACCCCCCATCTTTGCATCTGTTGCAGAAGTGCACACGTTTGGCCATGAATGTCCAGGAAACGTCAAGCGAGAGTCTCAGTGTGAAAAGGTACCTCCCCCCGTCCGCGTAAGGGTACGATGCGCTTGAGATGAAACTGCGCGGCGATCTGGCGAGAGCCACAGTCTGAGAGCGGGCCGACCTCTATCCGTGCCACGGCCGGTCACTGTTTAGGATGAGTGCGGCCGACACGAAAGCGAGAGGTGCTGTTGGTCTTCAAATGGCCCGTCCTACATGTTTGTAATTGGTGATGTGGTTTAAAACCAGCGCGCGCGGCGCAAACTCGCGAACCACAGTGGAAAACGGTAGGCCTTCGATGTCTGCCGCTGTAAGTTCTCGGTATCAGGATCACGAACAGTGACATGGTCTCAGGCGGAGCACCCCACCAGCCAAACAAGCACGCCTGGCGTTGCGACGAACAGGATTTAGTCATCGAGGGCAGGTACGCGTCACGAAAATGGATAGAGGATGAAGAACAGGAGGATGATGAGGAGGAAGGAGGAGAAGGAGGAGGAGGAGGCGTAGCCTTTCCAACCGCGTCGCCAACCGCGTCAATCGTCAGAAGGGGGGCGTCCACTCGCAGGACGGATCCCTCTGGCCCACCTTCCGACGAGGTGGTGTCTTTGTTTTTCGCATCCCCTATTGATTTCTCTGGTTCGGTGTTCCTCGCCATTCCTGCCACCTCCCGCCCCAACTCCCCCCCCCCCCTGTCCACCCAGTGCTTTTGGCCGCAGCTGCCCTTTTCCCCATGTTACTCGCGCGCTCACCACCCGCCTCCCTCTCTCAGCCCTCCCCCTCTTCACCCCCGTTCTTTTTTAATGTATGCTGTTGTTGTTGTTGTTGAATATTATTACTTCTAAAGAATAATTATTGTTGGGCCCCCTGGTGCACGCCCCCCTCGCCGCGCCTAGGCCGCAGCCACATTTTCATCATTTTCGTGAGGAAGTCTCAGGCAAAACGGGGGAGTCCGGATCCGGTTGTTTTGTTGACGCCCGCTTTCCCTGTCAAAAAACAATATAAAATGACATGTCTTGTTCTAACATAGCCAAACTTCAAGAATCCTTTGCAAAAAATGACACGAAGTGCACACTCGCGCGCGCAAGATGAAATCCTTCCAAAACCTTAGTTTTCGTAGCGATTTTAACATAAAAACATGAAAAAAAAACCCAATGGTTTTTCAAAAAACAAGTTTCAAACATTCATCCCGCGCGCTCTTGCGGATTTCTTAGGAAACCCACTACTGTTTTCAACATTTCTGTCAAACGGGCTCTTGCGAGCAACTTTTTCACGTGCTTCGAACTTCTGCAACAACGGTTGCGCGCATGCCAGGGCCATCATCCCTGTCAAATAATACCATATGGGACACATTCGTTTTTTCTTCGCGCGCGCACGCCGAAATCTTCAAACACCATTGGGTTTCTTAAGAATTTCAGCACCGCGTATCATAAAATCGCACGAATCGCACCGTAGGTCCTCGAAAAACACGTGCACGGATTTTCCAAATTTCTACCCGCGCGCGCTGTCCGAATCCTTAAAAACAAATGGTTTTTCAACATTTATGAAACGGAAAAACGTCGTATCAGACGCTAGCGCCTCACCAGCCAAAGCAGTCCATATCATTGTAGGACCTACAGACAGTACCGGCGTCGTACTGGTTTACCGTGGTTTCCTATTCTAGCGTCAGGAACATGTTACCACGAAAAACCAGTACAGGTGTCCAGTGTTGGAACAGGGGGAAAAGTCGTATACTAAGCTAGCTTACAGAAAATGTTACCACAACAAGTCACTGTACCCATGCGCCAGTGTAGTAGCCAAGGTCGTCCGCAGGCCACGAAGTGAAGTGTCCGAACGTCATAGGGCGGGAAGCTGGGTGTGGGTGGTGGCGAAGAGTCGTTTGGAAATTTGGTAGAGCTTGAACCGGCCCCCCCACAAAGTGGGGGTATTGCCCGCCTCCTATGAAAACCCTGGCACTGGTGAGAACGGAGTGTCCCCACGTGCTAGTAATTGTTGTTGTTGTTGTTGTTGTAGTTGTTGAACTTTCATTGCTGAAGGCTAATTTTCGCTGATCTCCCTCACCGGTGCATGCCGTTAATTCTCAATCAAAGTGTGCCCCTCGACGCTCGCACCCTGTTTTTTTGACAGGCATAGTCTTGGTGCTTAAACTGCGCCCCCGGCCCCCCGTACAACAACAACAACGGCTCCCGCTTGAGATTTCCTCCGCATTTATTCAGGACCCCCTGCTCCCGCCTGAGACTTCCTCCCAATTTACTCAGGAGCGGCGCTCCCGCTTGAGACTTCCTCACAATTCAGTCCGGGACAAACTGCGATGTTGCTCCCCCGGACTACAACAACAACGGCTCCCGCGTGAGACTTCGTCCAAATTTACTCAGGACCCCGCTCCCGCCTAAGACTTTTCCCCAATTTACTCCGGATCGGCGCTCCCGCTTGTGACTTCGTCGCAAGTTTGTCAGGACCCCCCCCTCCCGCCTTAGGCTTCCCCACACTTTACTCAAGAACGGCGCTCCCGCTTAAGATTTCCTTGCGCCTTAGTCTAGACCCCCGCTCCCCGCAGACATCCCCTTTCCAGAGATTGCGCTCGCGCTTGCGACTTTTCCGCAGTTTATTCAGATACTGGGCACCACATTCGCCTCTGACTTTTCGCCGAGCAGCACCAGAGGTGTTACATGGCGCTGTTTATGGCGCGATCCATGGCGAAGCCTTTGTTAAACCGTATTGGAATGGCTGGCGCAAGCCATGGCGCAAGCTGAATCGCAACTCGCGGCGCAAATCATCGTCGTCCCTCCCTCTTGCCCCTGTAATCCCTCCCTTCCTCCGATCCCTCCATCCTCTCTTTTTGTTTTTCTCGTTTCGTTTCCCTGTTCAGGGGCTTCTCTAATTACACGTGGCCAGGAGAGAGTACAACCCCCAAAAAGGGGGTACGATCGAAGACGAAGAGGGCGGGTATCCAGGGATTGGGATACGCATAATGAAGGACACGTGGGCCGGTAGGAACGAACAATCGTGGAATGTTTGTTTAGTTTTTGTTTATGAAAAATAGTTATTGCTGATCACCCCTCACCGGTGCATGCTGTTTTGTCTCAATCAAAGTGTGCCCATCGACGCTTGCACCTTGTTTTTTTGACAGGCGTAGTCTTGGTGCTCAAACTGCGCCCCAGGCTTCCCGGATTACAATAACAACGGCTCCCGCCTCAGAGTTCTTCCAAATTTACTCAGGACCCTCTCCCGTGTGAGAATTCTCCCCAATTTACTCCGGAACGGCGCTCCCGCTTCAGAATTCCTCATAGTTCAGT